ACATATATCAGGGTCAAAGTATCGCCTGAAATGGAAGACCTAGATTTCAGCTAAAGACCTACATGCTGCAGACAAACGACCTTTTTACACTACGGTCAACTCGTTCTAGGCTGGGTGGGGTCATTGCATTTACTTTGGTGTTGTCCGTGTGTTGTTTGTGTGGAGCCGACTTCTTCTTTTGGCCCTGCTTCCCTGTGGTCCATTTCATGCTGTGCCGACCATACACATCCACCTATGGACTGACTGGCTGGCCAAAGTTATGTCACTCTTACGCCCACCTACAAGTGGGAGCCTTTGATTATCACGGGTAGAATCAGCCATCAGCGGCTTCCTGCGTGCTTGATTAATTATAAGTCATCTGGATGCAGTGGGGTAAAAGCTTTCTCTGACTGCAGCTTGGATTGGCCAAAGCTGCAGCTGCAGAGCGAGGACTGACCATCTGACATGGATGGGAGAGGAGCCCACGGCAGCACCTCTGCTCAGTGCCAAGCTGTGTGTTTCATGTCAGAGTCTCCAAGACTGCTCACGGCCATTTTTGTCTACTAACTTTTGGCTCTTAGGAATGATACCATGAGCTTCTCTGTGCCACTTTAGCAGTGCCTGCTCATGTTTTCATCCATGTCCGTATTCCCGAGAAGGCTATGCAAACACAACCTGGTCGCGCGGGCCAGGCTGTCTACAACTGGCCCGGCTGAGCTGTACAAAGGGGTATTGCAGCTAAATGATGGCGCCGTGAGGTCGGCTGCCGTCACGATTGCTCCGACCACCTCTTTCGTTTGTTTTGGTTTTTTCAAAGTTTGTTTTTGCGTTCTATATCGTTAAATTAATCACCATTGGGTACATTAGGTATGACAGTGCCACTCTTGTTTCTATTGATGTACAATGTACTCACAGTTCGGGGTTTTTAACTCCGGATCTGAGCTGGCCGAGTGAGATCTTGAGGGAGAACAACAGACGCGACGTGAAGCGGCGGCCTCGAGGGAAACGTGCCGGCGTCAGGAACAGGCTGAGAGCCCTTGCACACCGCACACCTCTGCCTAGCATCCTGCTCGCCAACGTCCAGTCACTGGAGAACAAGCTTGATGACCTCAGGGCCAGGATAAAGTTCCAGAGAGACATTCGGGACTGCAATCTCCTCTGCTTCATTGAGACATGGCTGACCTCAGCGGTGCCGGACTACACCATCCAGCCGGCCGAGTTCTTCTCGGTTCACCGCATGGACAGGACACGGGACTCGGGGAAGTCAAGGGGAGGCGGCGTGTGTTTAATTGTGAACAACAATTGGTGCAACAGTGCGAACGTTGTTCTTTTGACACGCTCCTGCACACCAAATCTGGAACTACTGTCCATCATGTGTCGTCCTTTTTATCTGCCTCGGGAGTTTACATCGGTCATTATAAGTGCCGTTTATATACCACCACAAGCGGACACGGACTCTGCCTTATGCAAGCTGCATGAGGCTCTCACCCAGCACCAGATACAACACCGGGATGCCGCGCTTATTGTGGCGGGGGACTTCAACAGTGCCAACCTCAAACGCGCAGCACCAAACTTTTACCAACATATCACCTGCCCCACCAGAGGTGAAAGGACACTGGGCCACTGCTACACTACGGTCAAGGACGGCTACAAGGCACAACCTCGCCCTCCGTTTGGCAAATCCGATCATGCCGCCATCTTCCTCATGCCAAAATACAAACAAAGGCTGAAACAGGAAGTTCCGGTTCAGAGGAAGGTCGCGTGCTGGACGGACCAATCGGTGGCTGCATTACAGGATGCACTCGACGACGCAGACTGGGACATGTTCAGAAACAGCTCCGATTATGTCAGTGTGTTTACAAAAGCGGTTGTGGGATTCATCGGGAAACTAGCGGATGATACCGTGGAGACAAGGACTATCACTACGTTTCCCAACCAAAAGCCGTGGTTGGATAAAACCATCCGCGAAGCTCTGAGATCCCGCACCGCTGCCTATAACACGGGACTCGCGACGGGGGACATGAACCCGTACAAAGTCGCGTCATGTCACCTGCGGAAGGCGGTAAAAGAGGCGAAGCAGCGCTACGGGAGGAAACGAGTCACAACTCCAACAGAGTGACTCTAGGAGCCTGTGGCGGGGACTGAGGACAATAACGGATTATAAAGCACCAAAAACCGGTATGATGAACGCGGACGCGACTCTGGCAGACGAGCTGAACATTTTCTATGCTTGCTTCGAGGCTGCAGCTAAGGACTCCAACGACGCTAGCGGCGCTAACGGCTGCACACAGGAAGATACTGCCATCACTGGAAACATGCTCGTCATCTCCGAGCATGACGTGAGGAGAGCCTTCAAGAGAGTGAACACCAGGAAAGCAGCAGGACCAGACGGCATCCCAGGTCGTATCCTCAGAGACTGCGCATACCAGCTAGCTCCTGTGTTCACTGAGATATTCAACATCTCTTTATCTCAGTCGGTGATCCCCACATGCTTCAAGGAGTCCATCATTGTTCCTGTCCCAAAGAAACCCCACCCTGCTTCTCTCAATGACTATCGCCCCGTAGCCCTCACCACAGTAGTGATGAAGTGCTTCGAACGCCTGGTCAGAGACTTCATCATTTCTTCACTACCAGACACACTGGACCCACTACAGTTCGCTTACCGTCCAAATCGTTCTACAGACGATGCCATCTGTCATCTCCTCCACACATCACTCACTCACTTGGACACTAGAAGGGGGAATTATGCTAAAATGCTCTTCATCGACTACAGCTCTGCATTTAATACCATAATTCCCTCCACACTCACCACCAAACTGGAGCACCTGGGACTGAGCTCATCTATGTGCCAGTGGATCTCCAACTTCTTAACTGGCAGACCACAGGCAGTAAGGATGGGCGGACATGTCTCAGCCCCCACCACTCTCAGCACTGGAGCCCCCCAGGGGTGTGTTCTAAGCCCCCTGCTGTACTCTTTGTACACATACGACTGTGTGGCCAGTACCAGCTCCACCACTATCATTAAGTTTGCTGACGATACCATCGTGGTGGGCCTGATCTCTGACAACAACGAGGCGGCCTACTTAAAGGAGGTCAGGAATCTGGAGACCTGGTGCAAGAGGAACAACCTCCTTATAAACGTCAGCAAAACGAAGGAGTTGATAGTGGACTTCAGTACAAAGCAGAAGAGGAACTACCAGATCCCCGTCATCAATGAGTGCCCAGTGGAGAGAGTGAGCAGCTTCAAATACCTCAGTGTTCACATCACGCAGGACCTGTCATGGTCCTGTCACATCAACACCATGGTGAAAAAGGCCCGGCAGCGTCTCTACTACCTCAGACGCTTGAGAGACTTCCGACTGCCCCCCAGGGTGCTCAGGAACTTCTACTCGTGCACCATAGAGAGCATCCTGACGGGGAACATCATAACCTGGTTCGGGAACAGCACCATGCAGGACAGACGAGCTCTACAGAGGGTTATTTGATCAGCTGAGCGCACCATCCGCTCCGAGCTCCCTGACCTGCACTCGATCTACAGCAGGCGGTGCTAGACCAAGGCCAGGAAGATCGTGAAAGACCTCAGCCATCCAAATAACAAACTGTTCTCTCTGTTGAGGTCAGGGAAGCGATTCCGCTCCCTGAAGACCAACACAGAGAGGCTGAGGAGGAGTTTCTTCCCGCAGGCAATACGATCTTTAAACCACACCACCACATAGTAAGTGCACACACATATGGTTCTCACACACACTGAACAGTCTGGACTTTGCTTAAGCACAGTTGCACTACAAAGTCACTAAAATGTGGTTTGCACAACTCTGGACATTATATATATATATTTTTCATTTCCATTTAATACTTGTTCAGCCTCTGTTTTGTACAGATATTTTTGTTTCTTCATACATTCTTATACATTTACTTACTGTGTATTTTGTTGTACAGTTGCTTTATTCTCAACTTCAACTTATATATATTTTATCTTATTCCTTCCCAGCTAAATTTACCTTTTATTCTAATTTGTATTGTATTGTGTATTTTGTTGTAAAGCTATTCTATTATTCAACTTTAATTCAGATATATTTTACCTTACTCTTCCCAGTTAAATTTACCCTTCATTTTAATCCGTGGTGTACAGTTTTTTTATTTTCAACTCTTAGGTCACGAGCAGTTGTGTAAGGCATTTCACTGCATTTCGTACTGTGTATGAATGTGTATGTGACAAATAAAATTTGAATTTGAATTTAAATTGTACCTGTTTTTTTCATTTCCTTCACAGTGAATGGTTATAAAATCAGTTGAAGAGAATAAAAACAAAAGTCTGTTCCTTGTTGAATCAATAATACTGCACCGGCAAGTAAAGATTTCATCCACACTCCTGTCACTTTGCATTGTGAGAATACCATCTTGTATAAAGATTTACACACGAGATTTTTACATTCAGTATTCAGATACTCAAGGTGTTCTGCAAATCAGTCACTGCAAAAGCATTGCTGTCGGGTTATTTGCAGATAAAATGTCTCAAAACGGTTAATGAAACTGAAGAAGTATTCTGAATTATGCATGAACATGATGATGCATGGGGCGACGGTGACACAGGAGTTAAGTGCTCGCCCCGTAATCGGAAGGTTGCAGGTTTGAGCCCCGCTCAGTCTGTCGCTGTTGTTGTGTCCTTGGGCAAGACACTTAACCCACCTTGCCTGCTGGTGGTGGTCGGAGGGACCGGTGGCGCCAGTGCTCGGCAGCCTCGCCTCTGTCAGTGCGCCCCAGGGCAGCTGTGGCTACATTGTAGCTCATCCCTACCAGTGTGTGAATGGGTGAATGACTGGTTGTGTTGTAAAGCGCCTTGAGGGGTTCCAGGACTCTAGAAGGTGCTATAGCAAATACAGGCCATTTACCACTTACCATGCAATAAGCCTCCTAGCCTTTAGAAACATTCAAATAAATGCACGTCTGTAAATATGAAGTAAATGACAGTATATGCCTCTGTGTCCTTCTACAAATCTGGTGGTTATTTTTGTCTGTAGGCTAAAGCCCTTCACGTCATACAAGTTTCGGATGTTTTCCACCAACGACGTAGGGGACAGTGTCCTCAGCAAGGAGACGGAGACTGTTACAACTCTGCAGGATGGTAAGAAGCAGCACGAGGCAAAATGAGCGAGGGGACTGAAGAATTGGAGATTTTAAATGATAATATTGTAGAATTGTACGGAGATAGACTGCTTGTCTGAATGTGTTTTCTTTTTCTTTCCAGTGCCTAATGAGCCTCCAGTGATACTGTCAGTGAAACCTTTTACTACTACCTCGGTGCTGGTGCAGTGGAAGGTATTTTCAGACTTCAAACACAAGAGTCCTTGATAAATACAGATCCACACAACTGAGCGTCTAGTCTAAGTCTAGTTTAATCATCTTCTTTGAGAGATAAATCCTGATGGACTTTTATTGCATGTGAATTTTTACTGCGTGTGTGTTTGTTTCTATCGATCAAATCATGAATTATTCAAGCAGGAAAGGTCACAGGGCAGCAAGGATAGATTGTAAAGACAGAAGGAGGGAGAAACAAAGGGACAAACAGTCGCCAGAAAGAAGGAGATGTCCAACTTTTAACGATTCTTCACCAGAAGGCGATTTGTAATAGGTCAAAAGGAGCTCTCAGCAATAAATCCAGCAGCACACAGGAAACAGAGAGGGAGAGAAGACCGTAGATACTTTCTCAGTACTTCACAGCTTGACTATCTTCCTTTCCTGTCTGTAAATGTCTTCTCTCATCTTTTGTAGTTTAATGTCAAAACAGAAAAAGGCAACAAAAAAACAAAGTCAGCAGCGATTTCATCACCCTTTACAAAAGTGCCAAACCTACTGAAGCATCTCTTCGCCTTTACAAGTCACCCCCAGACCGATACACTAACCTTTTAAATTGGACTGCTAAGAAAACATGAGTCTGCCATTCAGGCGTTTGTCACCTCACAGCACCAAAAACTGTGAGCACAGAACATGATTATCACTGTAGAAATGTAACACGGAGGTTTTTGCATGTTTGTACTTGTCTGCCTGTTTTCCAGCGTCCCAGTGAAGACAGCAGCAACGGAGTCTTGACTGGATACAGAGTGTATTACAGAGAGCTCCCAGCTAACACGTCTACTCTCACTGAAGCAGAAATTCAAACAACCAAAAACAACACCACAAGCGCTCTCATAATGAGTAAGTAGATCTCCTGCTAAAGAATCTGCATCCAAGCTCAATACCAAGGATTGTTAAACTTAAAGATGTATCAGCACCGACGGTATCGGCCAATGTCGGTGCCCTTTTGACCCGTCAGTGTCAGTCTGGTAAATAAGTGTGGGCTTTCTTTGTGAAGCACTTGGTGATTTCATCTGTGAAAAGTGCTATACAGTGGTCCCTCGTTTATCGCGGGAGTTACGTTCTAAAACTAACCCACAAAAGGCGAAATTAGCAAAGTAGCCAACTTTGGTTTTTACAATTGTCATAGATGTTTTAAGGCTGTAAAAGCCCCTCACTACACAGTTTATACACTTTTCTCAGACAGGTATTAATATTTTCACATTTTTTAACACTTTTCCTCCCAGCCGTGGATATTTTCTCATTTTAGGCATAAATTGTTCAACTGTGACCAGCACATATGGTTACCTCTTGCTTGTTCAAACAGCGACCAGCTCCGGACTCTGATTTGTTCTTTTCTCATCTAGTCCCGCCTGCCCCAATTGCTGATTGGTTCTTTTATCAGTTTGCAGTTCTTTTCCATTTTTTAATTGGATTTTTGTTAATGTCAATGTTCGTTGACGCCTTTTATTTACTGACTGAAAAGAAGCTACGAGGCCATGAAGGGTGAACTGTGCAATACAGGTGTTTGTAAACCCTCTCTGTATAGTTGCCAGTGCATAAGAAAGACTGAGGAACGTGAGACAACTTTGGGAGGGCCTGGCAACCAAATTACAATTAAGATAAAATTAAGTTGCAAAGAAATTGAAACATAATTCATAAGGAGGTAAGAAAATATTGATATACTGAAATATTGTATTATTTTATGTTATGATACTGAATCAATATTTAAATGCAGTGTGTAGATTTTTTATTGAGAATCTGCATGAAAACATTTACTGTGTTTTTGTGACGTGCAATTCAAACTCCGACTGCTAGGTGGCAGCCAGTGTTGCCAACTTAGCGACTTTGTCACCATTTCTAACGACTTTTCAGACACCCTTAACGACTTTTTTAAAACGACTAGCGACAAATCTGGCGACATTTCTGACCCCCCTCAGTTACTTTGACTACAACTTTGTAGCCGACTTTACCTGCAGATTAGAGATACATCTGAAACGACAGAACCGTCCTTCCTTCCACAGGATCAGAAAGAAAATGATCTGCGCATGTGCGTGCAGCATGATCACGCTACCCCCATTGACCAATCAAACCTTTTGTGAGTTTTCACGGGTCCATTATTTGAGATAGCCACCGGAGCTTCATAAAGGGCGACCGCTCCTTGCGCCATCCTGCCGCATTTCAGCAGCTGAGCTCGGCTGGCACTGGCAGGCAGCGTCGCACTCACACATGGCTTCTCGCACCACTTGTGGTGCATTCAAGGAGCATTGGAACTCTATGATGAGTTCAAAAACGTAGCACATTTAAAACTTTTATAAAAAAACAGAATAATACTGTAAGACAAACACCTCAGGTCACTGGCAGTTTGCATGTAACATTTCTGAATACTAAATACGGCCTGCTTCTTTTTACACAAAAGTATTAAAACAACAAAACCAAACAAAAATAAAAAATATATATATTATCTGTTAGGTCAATATATAGCACTGAATCACAACAGAAGAATACATCTCAAGGCACTTGAAAACTACAAGAGAAAATTCATTTCAATTCAATCATACATACATTCCTATCAATTTAATATTTTTGTGTTTGAGTTCCATTCTCTTCAGACAAAATAGAAATATTCCTTCCATTTTTTGTGCCATCTTTCCTTGATGTTTTAAAGGCTGCTGTTTCGCATTCTATGGGGTTTTTATTAGGGATGAGCGAGAACCCCACTATCTGTATCTGTTCAACCAACTAAATTATCTGTATCTGTACTCGGAATGGGCGTGGCATAACCCGGAAGTGGGCGTGGTTTACATCAATATATTATTTTAAGTCTGAAATTGATAAGGAATGATCAGAAGTTGATATGTGTATTGTTTATTTGAAAACTATTTACAGAGCAGCCTCAGAATTGAGATGAAATATTTTTGATCATAATAGTAAAGGAACTATTACAGAACAAGTGTTTCAATAAAATCAAAATATTAATATTTAAGTGCATGGATTAATACATCTGAACTCATGCAGTAGGAACTAGGAAATATGAAATGCTAGAACCAGACACAACTTTATGTATATTTTTTATTTTAATTTGATTTAACTGATTTTTTTTCTTAATGTTCTTGGCATTTTGCCACACAAAGTTAAACATAACAATGTTGATTAAGGTGTGTGTGTGAGAGAGAGAGAGAGAGAGAGAGAGATAGAGAGAGGGTGAGAGGGAGAGAGAGGGACTTAAAAAAATAAAAAACCCGACCGGAGCGGAGGTAGTGAGTGAATGATGCAGCACGTCAGCTCTGTCTTGTCAAATGCACCAGGTAAGTTACGAAAAAAGTAACTTTAAATATTCAACCGAAAAAGAGGCGAGCTGAAGAAAACCTAGGGAAAACTGAAGAAACGTGAGCAACAGTGAAGCAATCACAGCGAGATCCGTTACTGTCTGTGTGTGTGCGTGGATGAGCCGGACGGACTGCGCTCCCGGCCGGCTAGAGAGTTTTGTGTGTAGAGGGTTGCGCTCTATGTGACTGGCCAATCACAGAGCGTGAAGACAGTCAGTCACCCAATGAGGATTTTCCTTCAGCACGATCACAGATATTTACGAGGTTTACTCGTTTCATGCTCGTATTCGTCAAAAATGCATTATCCGTACCGGATACTCGTCTGAAACAAGTATCCGGCTCATCCCTAGTTTTTAATTTACTAAAAAATAAACTAAATAATTTTTTAATTAAATCATGCGGGTTTTAATTGATTTACTCTACAAGACCGGTGACATCATGACGCAAACCAGATGATGTCATTGCGTCGTATGCAAATTAGCATGTGACATCATCTGGCAACGTCTAGCGACTTTCGGGGGAACTTCAGCTACTTTCAGTCAAAAACAGTTGGCAACACTGGTGGCAGCAGTTTTTACCACTTTGATTCTGATGGAAAAACTAGATATTGCCATAACACTGGATGTGTCTTGGAAGCGTCAGGCCTGAGTTTTCTAATTAAATGCAGTCTTAAAAATTGCAAATATTGTTTGCCTTTTAGTATCATGATATATCATACCATGTATTGTGGTATATATCGTTGTCAACACATATCCTTAATCAGTGTTGTGCCCGAACGCGTTCATTGAACGATCGTTCATGAATTTGTTCTTTTTTTTTTTTTGTGAACGTGAACTGAACTCGTTCATGTTTTGCCTGACAAACTTAAAAGTGAGCGCTTTTGTCCGGGCGTACGTGAACGGATTTATGAACGCGTTCTTTCGCCATTCTAGCTCCAGATCTCCACGGAGCTTTTCCGAAGCCAAAGCCTAGCTTAAACATCCTGTTAACCATAGAGTTTATAAAAAGTAGAACCCGCAAATGCGGCCAAACATAGGCAGTAGCAGCTGGTGCGGCGTCTACTCTTCTATGTCTATGCTGTGTGGAAGAGTCAAAGTTCATTCAGAAAAATTTAAACGGGGCTTAACTGAAACATTATGCATTTTTTTAATGTTTTGCACTTTTAACATTGCACTTTGAGTTTGCTACTCAGCCTGGTTCCTAAGCGTGTTTAATAATTTCCCATTAAAAAACTGTTCAAATAATGTTTTCCTCATGTTCCTCATATACTGTAGGGTAAAAACTGCAGCTGGGTATGAGTGTGGACTGAAGGGGTGCCAACTTTTGGAAAATTATTTCATAAGTATATATATAGATAGATAGATAGATAGATAGATAGATAGATAGATAGATAGATAGATAGATAGATAGATAGATAGATAGATAGATAGATAGATAGATGATAGATAGATAGATAGATAGATAGATAGATAGATAGATAGATAGATAGATAGATAGATAGATAGATAGATAGATAGATAGATAGATAGATAGATAGATAGATAGATAGATAGATAGATGATAGATAGATAGATGATAGATGATAGATGATAGATAGATAGATGATAGATGATAGATAGATGATAGATAGATAGATAGATAGATAGATAGATAGATAGATAGATAGATAGATAGATAGATAGATAGATAGATATAGTTATATTATAACTGCAATAATTGTTATTTATTGCAGACTGCAGCCTTTATAATTCGGTATCTGCTCATCTAGACTGGCAGGTGGACAATTTTCTGTTCCAAAATCTAGAGTCCCTTGGAGAACAGAGAAGCACGAATGTTTTTAAATTTCTATAAATCTGCAGTAAAATTGTAGTTTTATATTGAACTTGAAGCCTGACTGATTTTCCCTCCATCTGTTTTTGTCTCACTCTTTAAAAAGCCAAGAGCACCTTCAAAATGGTCAGTGGGGCCTCGCTCACTGAGTTTGAACTGACACGTAAGTGATCCATTCTGATGATTAACGCTTGAAGCAGGAACATAAAGCAACGACTATTTTAAGAGCTTTTACTCTCCTAAAACCAATGTTTGTTGTTTGTTTGCAGAACTAAAAAAGTTTAAACGCTATCAGATCGTGATGACGAGCTACAACATCATCGGGGAGAGCCCACCTTCTGACCCGATTGAGGTGTCTGTTGGAGAAGCAGGTAGATGAAAAGATATTTGTTGTGTCCACTTATATAACATATTAACACGAGTTTCTCATAATGTCATTAATTTTTTTTTTCTAATTTCAAGTGGTGAATTTAATAATTCATGTACGCATGAAAGCATGTAACTTCTCTAGATTTGTAATAAAGCAACTCTGTCTCGTGGTCTACGTAACGGGCTACTTTTGCACCTTTTAGTGCTAATATTACAGCGTCTTCAGTAGCAGATGAATAACATGTTCTTGGACTCATCTTATCAAACTTAACTTAAGAAAAACACCACGGACTTCTCCATGAATTTTTTTGCCCTGCCCACGTGCTCAGACACACCCACGTACCTGAGAAGGATATGTCAACAAAACCTGGCCGTGAGGGGGGCCAACTCTACCAAGACCGGATCCCAGCCAGGCCATATGAGAAGACGCCAAAATGTAGCATGCCCAAAAGCCTGAGTCGTCTCCAACCTGCTTTCCTATGTGAATTAGTAATGTTGTAAATGCCACAGAGAAACGGTTCATTATGAGAAAAGCTAGTTTAACGCACCATAAACTTAGATACACACCCTTCAATCTGCACATACCAATCCAGTGTCTGCAATGTATAAACGTTGGTTACAGTTATGCAAACAGCAGAAACATGCTAGCTTAAGCTGCTGCTAATGCTAGCCTGAGCTGCTACTAATGCTACAGCTACAGCTAATGGCCTTGTTGGACAAAAGGAAAACAACAAAGAAGGATGTTGGAGCAACACTTACATTCTGAGATGTATTGGGAATCTCCAGACTTTCATTGAGTGCTGGAAAGATCCACAGCTTGTGGTCCTTGTCCTTTTTCTTGTTTATCCACAAACCCCGCTCTACAGCCAGCTCTTTGTTGCTCGTTCATCCAAACTCTTGTGCAACAAAGGCTACATTGCTCCCACTCATGTTCCAGGATGACCAGACTTTTAATGAGTGGCAGATAGATCTACAGTCCAACAGTCCCCAACCACCCCTCACCCCTAACCACAGTCACCCCACCGTCACAAAGCCACACACTTCCTTATCCATGTAACCATATATTTTATGTAGAGGGTCAAAAAACAGTTTCAGATAGGAAATTAACATCCTAGGACCCCTTTAAAGTTCCAGATATCTTATTCAACCCCGCTGAGGTTTGTACTTTGACACCACCGTGTTTCAAAGGTTTAAAAATTAAAGTTTCTTATCAGTTTATTTATTTTTTTGCTCTTTCATTTGACTTTTGGTGCAGTAGTTTTTGTGATCTTTTCAACAGCAAATTAATTATTTTGTGATTTAAAAAGCTAGGAGAACAGAGTCAATAGTTGGTATGATTTAAAATTGCAAGATGTTTGTTTTTTTCTCTCTCTCATTTTTCCTCACATCCTAATGTTGCCCCTGAGTAGAATTATCCTTTAGAGTCTCATTCACATTGGCTAGTTGTGTGTGTGCTTGTGCATGTGTGTGTACACGTCTGAAACACAACACAAGGTCAACTATTTGGTAGTGACGGCCCAATGCCTATTTTACTTTCACTGGAAAGTCAAACCATGAATCCATTAGAGAGACATGAGTGCAAATATAGCCATCTGTCTCCTCTTCCACACACACACACACAAAGAGAAACACAAGCTGTACGCCTGTCCAGACAGAATAACAAGAACAAGACTGTTGTAAACCACAAGCAAGAGTGCAGCTTAACATTGTTTCTCTTACATTCTCACTCATCAGCAGTGAGTGTGTGTGTGTGTGTGTGTGTGTGTGTGCGTGTGTGTGTGTGTGTGTGTGTGTGTGTGTGTGTTGTATTATGTGCAAGTGTGTTTTTAGAGTTTAGTAGGCCATACATATCTCATAGTCGGAAGTGAAAGGTGAAGATAAGGGAGGGGGAGTCAGAAAAGCCTGGAGGGGAATGATGAAATGGGGTGATATGGACTGTTCTCCAGCCTCAGGTGCATGCTGCTGAGTGTTCATGCGTATGTGCGGTACAGTGGAGTAACAAGGTACTGCCTTAGGCCCAGTCTAATTGGCAGGGTAGAACATATTTTTCTTGCTTTCTGTTCTTTAACATGCAGCAGCAGCATACGCATTAACAGGAATCTCTTGCCCCGCTGCAGCTCCATCGGTGGCGCCTCAGTCTATCAAAGTGTCAGCCGTGTCTCCCTCCAGCTTGGAAGTGACCTGGGACACGCCGCCCCTCGAGACCCAGAATGGACTCATCCAAGGATACAAGGTGACTCTCAGGAAAACAAGCACAAGCGTACATACACACAAAGAATACATATGCCTGCCTGGGGAAAGGCAACGAGGACTCTAACACACACCCTCGGATAAGTACTTAGTGTGTGTGTCCACACCAAGTACACAGCACTGTCTGGGCCTTTGTTTAAAATGTCTATCTTTGAGTGGGTTTACTTTAAGTGTCCTAGAGTCCAGAGAGAATAAAATAATCTTTTCAATGTTTCTGTATCATTTTTCTGCCCGTCTCTCTGCATCAGTCCCTCCATCCAACTCTGGCTGTTGGAACGTTGGACAAAAGGATATATGTCCCGATTTAGACACATTTGTGTTAGCCAGTATTAAGGGACACAAAGAAAGTGTGGATTTTAGTATTTGCAGAGTGAAAGGCTGAGACAAGCTAGTGATCCCCTTAGAATCCAGATTAGAGAGTAAGATCGAGGTTTAAACCAGCGAACGGATGCATATGGAGAGGATAGTGTGGGAGCACGGATGAGAAGAGGAGAACAAAGAAAGAATAGTCAAAAAAATTATCTCTTGTCTGCAGTCTGATGAACAGCAAACTTTACAGCCGGTGTCTACGGACACATTTGCTGCAATTAAGTAAAAAAAAAATGTCCATATCAGCTGTTAAAGGTGGCACACTGCAAATTGTTCCGAAGCGATTAGTAAAAATATAAATAAAAGCATGATGAGGTTTACTCATGACAGCTTCAAATGAGTTTTTCTCAGTGATCCTGAAGATCTACTTAAACAGATCCATCAGAGGGAATTACTAAATAACATTTTGCTCTACATCACTGTTGGGTATAACAAGATATGTGATCGTTTTTTTCTAGGTTGGAACATTTATGTGGAAATATCCCTCTGTATGCAGAAGGTAATGCCGTCTGATCCTCAACTGATGCTGCAGATGAGTTATTGTGCATCTCATTTCAGTACGAGCTGGTGGAAGGATAGATACGGTATAATGCTGCCCTCAAGTGCTGCTCAGAAGCTGCAACGTTCAGCTGTAGAAGCTGTAAATATGGCTTATGGTGCTCTATGGTGCTATCTATTTAGAATAATAGGAAAATGGATCCCTTTGTGTGACACTTGGCTGCTGTTTTAGTTTTATCTGCGTTGGCAAGAGACACAGAGCGATGCACCACTCCGTTTGCCAGAACGAAGCGTATACATGAATGGAGCTTTCTCTCTGTTTGAGCTGGCGTCACAAATCAGTACATTTGACCTATTTTCCAATAAATTTGTCTAGTATTACTACATTTATTGATTATGATATGACAGATATGTCTTAGAAAGTTACAGTTTGATGCCGAACAGATTAGTAATTATCTATTAACGTCTATTCTGCACTGTCACTAGATCAAGTTTCAATCCCTTTGTTTTGAAAAGGTCACGTAACACCATCTGATCACAGATGAGCTGAGAAGCCGTGTGCTGCAGGTTTAGAGGCATAATTCGTTTTTAGTTAAGGTTTCATAAAGAGATATGCCAAAGGGTTACAGCTGCACATGTTCACCGTTCTGTTCTCCTGGATCTTTATGTTTTATATTTATCTTATCTTGACAAAATCATTTAAATTCAGATTTTTGTGAGGAATTGCCTCAGAATATTTCAACTAATAAACAGAAACTTTCCTATTAGTGGCAGAATTAGTTTCAAAGAAACACAGGAAAAAAAGTGATATAAGCAATAATCTTAAAATGAAATAATCACAAAACAGTCAAATGGCTCAATGAACCAAAGAGAGATTACACTCAAACAGATTTCCTTCTAACCCCAAAATTCCACTACCTCCGCTCCGCTCCGCTCCGGCACGAACTCCGCAGCAAAAACGGTCCCGTGCTCAATCAGAGCTGTTCCACTACTGCGGCCGTGCGGCGCAGTGCGCCGCCCGCCGTTCCGCCATCTGGCAAAAATAGGATCGATTCTAGTTTTGCCGGACGCCGGAGCACCTCCGCAATGGACAGAAATCACAACCGCCCAACAGGAAAAGGAGCAAGCACAACTTCCGTTATTTCACAATAAATTGTTCAACAAAAGGCGTTTTTTGTTTCATATGCACAGGTTTAACAACTATCAATGGTGGTTGAACTTTAAATGCACAAAAATAAGCCATAAATACAGTTTCCACTATCAAAGTAGTCACACTTTGTTGATCCAAACACTGCTGATCTCTCAACACAAATGATGGGCAGATTAAACAGATCATTTCGATGCTTCTCCCTCACAACGGGTGTTTGGATCTAACTTCCGCGTTTATTGCTCGGACTGTATCGCAAGATCTCGAAAATCCCGCGCATGCCTGTTTGCGCACCTCAGGTCTCCGCACCAGAGCGGAGCCGTTGTAGAGCGGGAATAGTATAATTTGAGTTCGGAAGCAAGTGGAAAGCGGGGGCTGAGCGGAGATAGTGGAATTTTGGGGTTAGCAGGCTGAGTGGAGGCCAGTTTTTCTCCTTCAAAGGAGTGGAACACTGAAAACCAATTTTTTAATTTTTCTTTCTGATTATATTCGGTCAGTCTGTTTGCCATGCAGACTGAACATAAAATAGTCTCCTACACCTATCTCCTGCAGTAGCTTCTGAAAGAAAACAGTCTGTCACTTAACATTCATGGACTCGCCCATCTTGGCTCACAACGGGGAAGGATGTTGTTGGTTTAGTGTCTAGGAAACAGCAGAAAACATCTGGACTAGTATATGCTAACCCTTACCATTAGCAACTCCACCACACAGCAGAAGCTCCTCCAAAGTTCATTACATCAGCCTACAATATAACAGCCTACAGGAATGGAACTTAGCTTCGGTCAACAACAATGACGTTTCACAAGTACACGAGTACAAAAGTTTAGACAAGTACGTATACAGTGGGTATTGAACATATTCAGACCCCCATCAATTTTTCACTCTGTTATATTGCAGCCATTTGCTGAAATCAATTAAATTAATGCTGTTACTCATTAATGTACACACAGAACCCCATATTGACAGAATAACACAGAATTTTAGAAGTTTATGCAGATTTATTAAAAAAGACTAAGTGAAATATCAGATGGTCCTAGGTATTCAGACCCTTTGCTGTGACACTCATATATTTAACTCAGGTGCTTCCATTTCTTCTGATCATCCTTGAGATGGTCCTGCACCTGTCAATATAGGACCTTACGGCTCACAATGCATGTCAGAGCAAATGAGAATCATGAGGTCAAAAAAACTGCCTGAAGGGCTCAGAGACAGAATTGTGTCAAGGCACAGATCTGGCCAGGGTTACAAAATCATCTCTGCTGCACTTAAGGTTCCTAAGAGCAAAGTGGCCTCCATAATCCTTAAATGGAAGACCCTTGTGACACCAGAACCCTTTGTAGGGCAGGCCATCCAGCCAAGCTGAGCTACCAGTGGAGAAGAGCCTTGGTGAGTGAGGTAAAGAAGAACCCAAAGATCACTGTGGCTGAGCTCCAGAGATGCAGTCAGAAGATGGGAGAAAGTTGTAGAAGGTCAACCATCACTGCAGCCCTCCTCCAGTCAGGGCTTTATGGCAGAGTGGCCCGTCGGAAGCCCCTCTCAGAGCAAGACACTTGAAAGCCTGCATGGAGTTTGCTAAAAGACACCTGAAGAGATGGTGAAAAATAAGATTCTCTGGTCTGATTAGACCAAAAATAACTTTTTGGCCTTAATTCTAAGCTGTATGTGTGGAGAAAACCAGGCACTGCTCATCACTTGACCAATACATTCCCCACTCTGAAGCATGGCAGTGGCAGCATCATGCTGTGGGGGTGTTTTTCAGCTGCAGGGACAGGACGACTGGTTGCAATCAAGGGAACGATGAATGCGGCCAAGCCACTGCCCCCTGTTTGAGACTGAGTTTAACACCGTGTTAAATACTGCACATTTGTTTAAAAGAACCAGTTTTTACTAAATTACTGATATTTTAGGGCAGCTGTGGCTACATCATAGCTCATCCCCACCAGGGTGTGAATGTGTGTGTGAATGACTGACTGTGTTGTGCAGCATCTTGGTGGGTTGTAGAACCCTAAGAAGGCCCTATACAAATACAGGCTATTTACCAAGAAGAACATTTTGCTTGAAATCCAGATAAACTGTAGCAAAAGATTTTGTTCTGTAGGTCGGTCTAGCCATGCTCAACTGAATCCTCAGCAGTTCAACCATTGGACTGAAAAATCGTGAGTCCGGCCAATCACAGCACTCTCTGTTTGTAGAGAAACACCAGACTAGTACCAGAGCTGCAACAGAGAAAAACTACAAAGATGGCGGCAGCTCACGAACAGTGCTCCATTGAAACAACTTTGGCATCAACTTTGGACAATTTAGACTTGGAGTTTTATTGAGACATGAGCAGATGGGGGTACTTAAGTCTTTATGCTTCTTCTCTTTCTTTGTCTTCGACAATGTATGACAGACTGCCCCGTTGGCTGATTTATGTCACATTGTTGCTCTCATTGTTCTGGCGCTGTCCATTTGTGTAGAGAGACAGTTTGAAAGACAACTCTGGATTTGGTCCCATGAGCAAGCTCTAAGGGTTGTGTATATATATTTATATATCAAGGATGACTTGCCACTCTAGACTGCTAGTGTAAATTATCTCAAATTTGCAGAAACCTGTCCTAGATGTTTGTTTTCTCTTCTCTTTTTGGCTTCAGTGTCATTCATCTTTTGTAGTTTATAATGATAAAATTTTGTTTTGTTTCCAGAGTAAATACAACACATAAACTTTGGGATGGATCTGTCTGAATCACTCACAGAAATAATGACAGTGTTCTAACATATCCGTTTAATGATGGCAACGGAGAACAAAGAAGAAAATGATGAATAATGGCGATGAAAACAAATACAGACAACGATCCAGTGAAGATATGAGTAGAGAAGAAAATGGGGCGACAGCGTAACAAACAGCTGCGTTCATAATGAAAGTTTTATATAAATTCTGGGTCAGAAGCTCAGTGGCTTTTGTGTTTCTTCACAGTTTATCTTCAGTGTCAGCTGGTTTCTTTGTTTTGGCTTTCTATCAAATAATAACTTTGCCTCTGCGCTGTCAAGATATTCATTTTAGGTGATGACTAGCCAGGCTGCATTAGGTTGTGTATCAGGAGCGGGCGGCGGAGGAGTTAAGTGCCTGCCTCTTAACTGGAGGGTTGCAGGTTCGAGCCCCGCTCGGTCTGTCACAGTCTAGAGGGACCAATGGCAGTTGTGTTCAGCAGCCTCACCTCTTTCAGTGAACCCCAGGGAGGTTGTGGCTACATTGTAGCTAATTACCATCAGTATGTGAATGGGTGAATGACAGGTGGTGTTGTAAAAAGCCTTGGGGGGTTGTAGAACTCATGTTAGTACTAATAAGTGCTTTAAAACCCAAACAGATTGTGTTTTTCTGGGGTTGTTGGGAAAGCTTTGGAGCTGACAGGAAAAGTAAATCATTAGAGTTGGAAAAAATCAAGTAATCTAGAGAAAATGAGATTGTTAAAATTATTTGGTTTCATGAAAGCCCTTTTTAGAGGACACACCATGCCGTCAAATCAGCGTAATGCTGGCACCATGGAGTGTCTTATGAATGGGCCGTGGCAGCATTGCGTTGCGGGAATTATGCGGCATTCGTTGCACCATGCTTGGTAGTAGGGATGTGTATTGGTAAAATTCTGGTGATGCAATACGTATCATGATGCAGGGGAAACAATTCGATATATCGCGGTATTTTGTGATACATTCAGCCAGACGATATTAGCGATTGTTTTAGACTGAAATTATTGTAGGAAAATTCAATAAACAGTCCAAACTGATACTTAAAGGGGCATTGTGGAAGTTTGACAGCCAAAACATGTACAGGAATAATAAATGTCTTCATACAATCTCCTGCAATGCCCTGGTCCTGTAGAATGAGCCCTGGCATTTTTACTGTGATTGCCTGTTTTTCTGTAAAATCACAGAAAAAGAGAGCTGCTCGGGTCGAGCAGGCTGCTTCATGCGCGTTCACGCTCAGGCATAGCCCGTAGCATTTGCTATCTGTAGCTTTAGCAGCAGAGAGAGAGGCAGTGCCACTTTGTCGCTGTTCCTAACGCCTAGTGACAAAGCTAGCTACATTTCTGAGGACCCTTAGCTACTTTCTGTAGAACTTTCTTCTAGATATTTACTGCAAATTAGCAACAAAAAAGCCATTTTCACTCTCAACCGTTCTTTGAACGTTGTTTCAGCTGTCTCATCAAGGATATAAATGTTACAAAAGATGTTACTGTCTCTTTAGCTCACGTAGTAAGACGTCGGACTCCTGTGCAGAAGACCCAGGTTCGATTCTTGACGTGTAGATAGTTTGTTTAGAGTTTATTTTTTACATTAATGGTATATTTTTTTATAGTAAGATGCCCACATTTTTATTTGAGACTCGCCGAACGGCATTGAATTCACAGATAAAAAAGATGTGGGTTCAACTTTCATTTTGGAACAATTTTTCAAGCAAGGGAAGGGAATGATCTGAGCATGCAGGAGGACTGACCCATCATAAACCTTTGTTGGCTGTGCTGAAGAGAAAGGTACAGAACCAAATGATTTAATTAATTAGCTGTGTGTTCTCCTGTCCTCTGTCCTCCGGGCCACACACACACACACACTCACACACAGGACTGTCTCAGCTGTTATTTTCGTTAAGGAGTGTGCACGTACAGCATGCGCGCCTCGTGCACGAGCCTACTATTGAAGCTGACGTTATGCTTTTGGCCTGAGGGGGCAATCGCGAGCATAAATATTCTAAACTCCGTAAAGTCCCTTTAACATGTTTAACATGAGGTATGAGGTGGAACTGTTGCCAACTAGCAGTTGGTGTTTGAATTGCGCCAAAAGAAAAGAAAATACACAAATTTCTGCATGTAAATTCTTCCAAAAATTTGATGCACGGCTTTTGAATATCAATATATCGCAGGAAAAAATATAGCGATGTATTGTCATATCGATATTTTCTTACATCCCTACTTGGTGGTAATATTGCTGCAACGCTGGACTGCATTTTATGTTTTGGTGCAACTGAGGGAGGTGTCATGATCATGTGGGGAGTTACTGCCGAGCTCCAGCAGGAAACTATATTAAAAGTGAAAGTAAACACGGGCCATAAGTTTAGCTTTTTAAACAGAACCGGCTGAGATGTTAAACTGGAGCGATACAGAGCTCCAGCAGCTTCTCTTCGTTATAGCTGGAGGTCAGATAACCAGAGACTGCACTGTAGAGGACAGACACCTTTAGGAGCGGCTTGTCAAAAAGAAAATTATGAGCGCGGCTTCGATCGCAATAAAAAGCAAGTTATGTCCAAGATAAACAGAAGTCTGCAGCAGCGCAAAAACCACCCCATACCCCCCTTTAGCCACCATTGGCTAATCTTTTGTCAAATGGACACGATTGCGCCACATTACCATCACGTTCTGACCACTCATAAAAGACCTAATGCTCCCTGATGCCAGCGCTGCTAATTGGCGGCATTGTTTTCTAAAAGAGGCAACAGTTGTTGATTGTTTTGGGTTTTTCTTTTACATGGTAGATCCACTACTGGGAGAGAGAGAATCAGAACCAGTCTGAGAAGGTGAAGGTGATTTTTGTCCCAGACACTCGGGTGCACCTGACAAACTTGAGCAGCTACACGCCTTATCTGGTCACACTGACTGCCTTCAACACCGCCGGCGATGGACCGCCTAGTGACCCCCGAGGGGCCCGGACCCTGCAGTCTGGTGAGATATGGAGACAATTCAGTCCCTTAAAACCAAAGTAACAATATCCTAATCTTCTCGATTTCATCTGGTGCTCACTATGTCCGCAGCTCCCAGCCAGCCAAACTACCTGTCCTTTTCTGAGGTGACAGGCGGGAGCGTCAACGTCTCCTGGGGGACTCCACTCACCCCCAATGGGCAGGTAGAAGGCTACAGGGTCATCTATCATCCTACAGCTCCTGTCCAAGGTACACACACATACTAATTCATTCACTCATAAACAAGCCTAGAATAATGATTACAATAATTATCATCCTGTAATCACCTGCAGGAGTCAGTAAGGTGGTGACAGTAGACGTGAAAGGGAGCTGGCAGCGATGGCTGAAGGTTCGAGATCTGGTCAGAGGATCCATCTACACGTTTAGTGTTCAGGCTCTGACTGTGAGCTACGGACCACCAATACAAGCCAACGTCACGGCTCAGCCTGTCAAAGGTACATCACGCACCGCAGCCACCCTGCAACAAGCTCTGGTTCTTTTCTCCTCCACTAACAAATATTCATTCAGCCTACAACATTTTTAAAAGTAAATAACATGAGTGGATCATTTGTAATGAGCTGTAGTGTCGTCTGTTCTTGATTTTATGTTTATAAACTAATAAATTATTAATAAAGGTTAGTAAATTGATGCATTACAGCATAAAGGACTGTGATAAAGTCCAGAAACAAGTGACTGTATTTCTAATACCATAGGGACACCTGGGGCCCCTATGGACATGTCCATCACCAAGACATCCTCTGCCCTCACTATCCACTGGTCAGAGGGAGAGGTTGGCTCCGCCCCCGTGATGGGATACGTTATTGAGGCGCGTCCTTCAGGTGAGTTCCGTTACAGTAGCCTTATCTTACCTGTTTCAGCTCCTTAGTGCTCTGAGTGCTTGTCTCTGCAGACGCTTTATTACCTGCTGTGCAAATCAAGTCAGCCACAATTTCCTAATAAAGATTACAGGATGTGTAACGCAGGAAGGAAATTGTTTCAGCACTCTGCAGGAGCGCATGTAGACACGGTGAAGTAATTGTACAACAGTTAACACTGAATAAACTCCTATCACTGTCATCAGCACAGTATCATTATTGCAATTACTTTAATTCAACAATCTGTAATGTTTCCCTGCTCATATTTAAACGGGATTACGTCTGTCATTTGTCTTTGCTGCCATGAAGACGAGGGAGTGTGGGACTCCTTCATCAGGCTGCTGCCGCCCAGCAGCAGGTCTGTCTCAGTGCCTCTGGAGCGCCTGAGGTCGGGGATCAGCTACGAGTTCAGAGTCATCGCTGTTAATCGTCATGGTTACGGACAGCCGAGTACTCCATCTGTGGCTCTTGCTGGTAAACAAACACTCGCTGCTGATGCAGACATGTTCCTTCTTTGTGCATCAGATGCAGAGTCATATGAGCTTTTGCTGCCATCAAATGGCGAAGCTAGCAAAACTACAACAAACACCAACTTTTCTTTATTTCTCTAGAAACTGTTTTTGATCTTTACCTTCATTCAACACAGCAGAACTCATTTTACGTGTGAGCTCAGTAAAAGCCCCGTTTGTCCCTGTATCCGTGTGCAGCGCTGTTGGAGCGTCCGTTCTATGAGGAGTGGTGGTTCCTGCTGGTCATGGCTCTGGTGGGACTCATCCTCATCCTGGTCCTGGTCTTTGCTCTGCTGCTGCACGGACACAGCACCAAGTACAAGACCTGTGGCACAGGTCTGCACCTCTGTCATTCACTCTCTAAGCATGGAACAGCTTTATTTGTGTATTATAACCATGTAGTTAATTACAGACTTTTCCCTGAAGATTTATCTGTCTCAGTCGTATTTGACATTTTGATCATTGTGTAGTCTTCCCTAAGCGCTGTGATTCTGTTACACTTAGACATGCTTTTTTAGTCACGTTTGTTGTTTTGTTTGCAAAACAACTTCCTGTAGCTTTGATTCATTTACAGGTATCAGCTAGATGTTTCAGAAAAGACTGCAGCTCAATGAAAATGATCTTTTAGATGTTAAAAATTATTATCATAATTAATTTTTAATACAATAACAAATATTGGTGCTAATAATATTTTAATTCTGATTTAACACTACAATGTTAAAGGTGTGGTTGACTGAAAAAACATTTTATAATACTTATTCCTGGTTATAATCAGTCATTCTGAGTTTTTCATGCAGGATGAACATGAAAATAGTCTCCTTCACCTACTGTATCTCCTGCATTAGCTTCTGATAGAAAATAGATGGTGAAACTCTAGGATTAGAAAATACTGACAGATCTACGTCACACTGTCATTTAACATCCATAGACACAACCAGCATGACTCACCGTGGGTAAGTTTGCTGTTGGTTTAGCATCCAGGGAACAACAGAGAACATCTTAGCTAGTAAAAGCTAACTGTTAGCATTAGCATCAGCATCTTCACCACTCGGCAGAAGCTCCTCCAGGCTTGTGTTACATGTGGAGATAAATCATCCACATTGTAAGTCAGTGGTGCCGTTACCTAATCCGAGGCGAGATTTCCAAATACGTGGAAATAAGACTCTGAAACCTGCTGCCTGAAGCTCAGCTGTGATGTGGACAACTTTTAGGTCAGAGAAATGGTGAGACCGTCCTCCCCGAGTATGACTTACAAGGCATTCATTCCTACTAGAGACCACTGCAAGCGTATGGATTAAATGAGTGAACTACTTCTTTTGCATTCATTTGGTTAATTAACTATTAAATTAACATTTGCAGCTGCATCTTACACACCGCCACTTCAATTGTTTAATTTTGTAAATTAGTTGATTTTCAGATTATTTATCGACTTGCACTTAACTTTTTTCTTTATGCCACACTGAGAAATGTTTTACTGTAACGTAGCTCAGTGTAAATGTAAATGAACAGAAAACTCTCATAGTCTTTTGGGGGGTTAAATGAATTTTTCTATGCATTTTATACTAGAATGTAGAGTGCAGGTCATAGCATGACAGCTGTTTTTCTGAGTTTAAAAGATAAAGGTAAACATCATCAATTTTAATTTGTCGTTTCATTTTTTTTCTGCAGGGAAACACACGACCACAGGAGAGGAGTCAGTAACACTGGACAACGGAGGTTTCACCGCTCTGGAGCTGAACAGCAGAACGCTTAACACCAAGAACTCCTTCCTGAAGAAGAACGGCACCCGGTGAGTTGTTGACGCCTCCCTGTAGCAGATGCCGGCACATCCCTGGACTTGATCCAATACGAACTGATACTCTGTCTGAATGTGTCCAGGTCTCCTCCCAGGCCCAGTCCAGGTGGTCTTCACTACTCTGATGATGATATCTGCAACAACTATAATGGAGCTGTCCTCACTGAGAGCACCACACTCACAGAGAAACCCACTGAGGTCTCTGAGTCAGAGGTATCGTGTGTGTGTGTGTGTGTGTGTGTTTGTGTGTGTGTGTGTGTGTGTGTGTGCGTGCGTGCGTGCGTGCATTTCACTTAAGTCGTAGAATAACACATTCAGTGCGTTTACATGCAGTATCAGAAAACCAAATTATTTCCTTAATCCAACTGAAGTTAGACTTTTAAAATGCATGTGTACATCTTAGTCAAGCTGAAGTCAAATCAGGTTGGTCTGCAGATTAAAAAAAACTGAATTTCTCTGCATGTAATCGATGGAAGTGGTCTTCTTATAATCTCATTGCTGCAAGACTGCATGAGTCTGACGTACAACACCATCAAACCATACAGTACGTACCAAATGTACGATGCTGCAGCATTGTCGTCTATGCCTTCGGCTGTTTTGCACATCCCGCGTTTACTACTTCACTCCTGCCAGCGTTTGTTTAATATTCGTTTGTTGCGACAAGACTAAGAATAACAAATAGCAGCATCCTCTTGGCTTAATCATCTATGCATGAATTGTTTTACACTGATGTGTTTGAAGGACATTCAGTGGTTTGTCTAGAAGGAGACATTGTGTTAAATTGGACTCAGTGACATTTGTACATGTTATTTCAAGGCTGACTTGTGACCGTCTTTTTCTGTTTAGATGTTAGAGAGGTTATCTATAACTTTTTATAGTTAGTCACGTAATAATGGTGCGTTCCAGTTGTCTTCGGAACTTGTTTTTCCGAGATATGTTAGCCGGAAATGATGCAACAAACTCGGAATAATGAGCTCGTAGGTTTCAAAGGACCCCGAGATCCCAAATTTAACGATCGCTGCACCCAGTGCTACCAGGAAGTAGTTATCGTCTTTATTTTTATCTCATTTACATGTTCTGTTTTCTTTCTTTTTGAATTTAACAGCACCAGTACATTGTTTATTGTTATCAATAGTTATGTTTTCAAAAATTTTAACATTGCCTCCAAAATTGACCGGTGTTTATGGTTTTTACTTTTCCTGGCGTTCATATTTTTACATTTGACTTGAATGTTGTTCTGGTTGTTTGTGGCAACTGTTGAAGAGTGTGTGTGTAACTTTTATTTAGGTGCAGAGAATACTTGGTTATATCATTTTTTTGTTTAGTACTCAACAACACTGGTGGCATCCATTTTCTCAGAGTTGGAAACTGGAACGCAAAACAAGCCCAATACATAATTTCCTGCTTGGAAATTCCGAGTTCTGAGGACAACTGGAACGCTCCATTACTGGGAATAGCTAGACTATAAATGAAAGCCAGAGAGATGCTCTGATTTTGGTCCTTGTCCTCTTCCTCATTTGTCTGCAGCCCCCACTCCTGTCCAGTGTTGGACACGTGACTTTTAAATAGTAATTAATTATAGTTACTGATTATTTTGTCAAATAAGTAACTCAGTTACTTACTGAGTTACAAGATTATAAAAGTAACTAATTACTTTTTTCATTAAAGAATGTAAGACAAATGGGTTCCCCTAAACTTACTTAATTTACTATAAATTACTACACTACTGAAATATAAATGACTAACAACTGGAACATAATAAAATGCATGTCCAAATGTTTTTGTATAAAACTGAGTAATTGAAATAAATTGGCACTTAATATGAGGAACTACAAACAGGAACATTACACTATTCTAGACTATTTAACAAGACCCCAATCAGCTAAAATTTATAATTGCAGGAACCTGTAAAGGTTCCTGAGCCTTTAAATGGTCTCTCAGTCTAGTGAAATTACGGAAATAAATGTAATTTTGCACAATATTCTAATTTTTCCAGCTTCACATAATTGTATGTTTTAGTAGCATTTCTGTTGCTGGTAATCTAGTAATGGTGAAATAAATAAATAAAATCCTTTAAAATGACACAAGCCTGATGGAGGACTTACATTTACTAACGTGGGTCAGACCCAACCACAGAAGATCTGAAGCTGGGTGGTAAACACACACAGGTAGTTCTGGTAACACCTGAGTGCCCGTGACGTCTGAGACTGATGCATCAGTGCTACAGCAGGACTAAAGGAATGATCAGAAACAGGTTACAGTTGGATGATCTAGGAAGGTAGAAGATCAGGACGTCTGAGCGGTGAACAGGTGAGCGGACCTTCGGGACGTCCTGCTGTAACGCCAAGAAGGGTGCAGCAGCGAATCTGTGGGTCTGCAGCTGTAGAATATTCATCACGTCTTTGTTCTTCACGGGCCGTGATGCGCTTAGATGAAAACATCCACCTCCTTAGCTCCCAATCAGCTGTTGACAGCTTCAACACACCGCGCTGCTTAACGCACACATTTTCTTGTCAGTAACGGAAACGGCGTTATGATAAAAGAAGATTGTAATCAGTGTTGGGCAAGTTACTTCAAAACTGTAATGCATTATTTATTACTTGTTACCCTCATTTTAAAGTAATTCATTACATTGCAGTATTACTGATTTTAAAATGTAAGGCATTACACTAATTTTGCATTATTTTAAGTTACTTTCACCAAAACAACTTCAATATGAATCTGGTAATCTGACGCTCAGTGAGCTCATGACATATATGTGGAAAGTGATGTGGTGTCTGAGCTAGGATTGCTGTTAAAAACAGTCAGATATAATAACAGTGCTTTAAAATGATTGTTTATTAAATAAAAGCAACAACAATCTGTACTCTCAGCGCGCTGCCATTTTATATTACCTGAGCAGGGAGTGAGGTGGTGGGGGCTCCAAGCCTATATTTGCCTTGGTCCCCAAATTCCTTGATATGGCCCTGGATGTGGGACTGACTTCTGGGGTGATCTGATTCTATCACATGTATAAATATTAAATGCTTATATATTATTGCTTTTCACTGGTAAAAATGTGAATTGGGGATAAATCTACCTATTTTTTCTTTTCAAGCACTTTGTTTTGTTTTCTTGATTTTATTTGAATAATTTCCTGTCCTTTCTCTCTCTAACCTTCCTGCATGCTGCATGTTTTCTCCGTCTTCCAGAAAAAACTGTTTCCTAAACTTCCTACTTTCTAACTATCAGCCAAAGGGATCTTCACATGCGCGTCGCTCCAGCAGTAATGAGTTGAAATCACCGGGCCACAGATTATGAATTCAGCTGAGGGCAAAGCACGTCAGAAAAGCACAAAATACCAGAGAATATGAGCTGATATGAACGATCGCAAGTGAATTATTTTGTTTTAGTGGAGCGATTTTGTGAATGTTACAGCGGCCGCGTACAGGACGCAGCTGGAGTATTTGAGCCGGTACCGCGGCGTCCTCTCTGCCCGCAAAGCTGAGTCCATAAATGACGTAATATATGCAGATACTGGATCTTTCTTCGGGTTTCCCGTAATTTGAATTTTTAAGGAACACATCTTGATTCTGGTTTAAAAATGCTTTGTAATACCCGCGTTACTGACAATTGTACCGAGTATATATTACCATTTTCTTTCCCTGCAATGCCTTACATTACCACATTACAGCAAAAAGCAATGCATTACAGTAATTAATTACATTTGTACCGCATTACTCCCAACACTGATGGTAATTAATTAGATTACTCGTTACTAAAAAAGCAATTTTTTTAGTAACGCCGTTATTTTAAACTGCGTTATTCCCATCACTGCTCCTGATATTCACTTTCTCCATCGTTTCATTGTAAGGCTTTATTATGGAGTTGAGTTTGGCCATTTATCAGGGCTCCTGAGCCGTTGTGAGCCCCAACAAAGCTTAATCTGCTATATAGAGACTCAGAGTTTGAAATTGTAAAAACAAAAAAGCTTTTCTTAGTACACCTTTAGAATTATGACAGAATTATGTTGTTTTTTTTTATCAGCAATCAAGTTTTCTTCTACAAAAGAACAGAAATGAGAGGATGAAAGTAGAATTTTACACTCTCATATATTAATTATCAATTAAGTCTTTAACTTCCTGCCTGCTTATCTTAAAGGAGTTGACTCTTGTGTAGGGGCTCTGCTGAGGTACAACCAGTCTACATCCTTAGCACAGAGTTTAAGTTTTCGCCCTTCATCTTTTAAAGAATCGGTACCAGTTTTATGTGAAGGTCTGCTAACTGAGTTCCACTTGCAAAACAGTTGGTGCAAGAGAAAACTGGTGAAACCTTAAAGATGTCTCTGGAGATTAAAGACAAAAAAGAGCAAAAACTACTGGCACTAACCAGCTTTAACGAACCCTGTTGTGTTTGTTTCCAGCTGACGGACAGCGACTACGAGGACGAGCAGCCGAAGCACTCCTTCGTTAACCACTACATGAGCGACCCCACCTACTACAACTCCTGGAAGCGGCAGCCCAAAGGTCTAAAGGGGATGGCTGCTCCTTTCGGCTACGAGGAGTGTGCCACTGCAGACACAGAGCCCTACTACCAGACCGTGGTCACCCAGCACAGCACAGGCGGAGCATACACACCCACGGGGCAGCCTGCACACACACACGTCAACCCCAACACCAACCCACCGGGGTCGCGCACGCCTGTGACAGGATTCTCTTCATTTGTTTGACTCTAGAGACAACATTTGCACAAAGGAAATCACACACGTATACATGTGGACGGTCAGGGGAGGGTGTGTGTGTTCAGACTGTAGGAACTGATGAAGAGGCAGCCCGGCAAGCCCCAAAGAACTGAACTCACACCTGTCACTCACCTCCCCCACCTGTTTATGAAGACCCTATGTTTGATGTGTGCTCTTTTGAATCTTTTACTCCTCTTTGTCGCTGTGCTCACACACAAACACACACACACACAGTTGCTGTCCTCATTTCCCAAAAAGTCTCAACAGCTTACCTCTCCAGATACTCACGCCCACTCCAGAGACTCTCCAGTGAGAGCCAGGAGCGATGACTGGATTAGTCTGTGAGAGGCCACCTCGGAGCTGGAGGAAGCTGCGAGTTCTGCACAAAAATCTTATCTGCTGATTTCTGTATCTACACATAAGTGCACAAGTCACCCACACACACACACACACACACACTGATGCACCATTTTCAGCATCTCCTACTGAGAGAGGAACGTTAAGGTGGTGCAGAAGTGAACTGCTGTTGCTGACAGACTGGTTCATGCACACAAACATAAAGCTGTCAGCTTTCAAAAATCACCACAGAGAGAAGAAACAAATCAATAATCGCTTTTTGGATTTGAGAATGAATGAGGAGTGTGTTGGTTTACAGCACTTACTGCGTTCTCAATAAGAGTGTTGATCAGTCTCTGAGAGCGATATGTGGCATTTGGGCTGGAATAAGTGACAAATGTAGGTTTTTTATTTGTTTGTTTTACCGTGTACTGCCTGTTCTCCTTTTACCGCAGCCTCCTAAGCCATAATGCTTGCACTGAGCCAAAACCCGAAACATTTCATTCTCATTCTGTTCAAATCTGATTTTTGTCCTCGTGTGAGTGTGACGCGCGTGCGTACAGGCATGCGTGTGAAACGGCTCTGTGCTCACTGTAGAAGCCTGCTCAAATGTCTGTGAAGTCCACCGCTAAGCAAAGTGTGCCATCATTGTGTATATGTTTGTATTTTTCAAATGACTTTTGTACAGCAAAACCCTTTTTACTCGTTGTTTGTAGTTTTTCCATGTTTGTTTGATTCAGAGCAAAAGAGCACGGCAGAAAGTTCATCAAACCAATGAGAGGAAAGGAGGCAACGGGTACCGCAGAAATCAATCAAAAGGAGCCAGTTGACAGGATGTTTGAGAGGATTTTTCTTCTATCTGTGGATGATTAAACTTTAAGTCTTGAAGCTTCACCATCTGATTTCCAGGATCAACCAGGCTGACAACGATGTACTCTGTTCTCTTCAGCTGCAAACAACCCTCCGGTTTTTCGCTCATGTTTGGTTTGTAGGTTCTTCGGCTGGCCAGCAGCGCCCTTCACTCTGTCACACTTGTTTTCAGCCTCATGCAGTGTGAATAAATGGTCATTCTATAACGGCGTGTTTCTGTTACATCACTTATCACACAAATAGAAGTACAGACGAAAACTGCAGCAAAAATTTCCTCCAGATTTTTTCTTGTGTTTTGTGTCTAATGCAGGAAACATTTTTAAAAAAGAAGAAATGATGAGTAGATGATGTGGTCCTGTTGGCTTCATCAGACCATGACTTCCAGCTGTTGCTGCAGCGTTTTACGATTTTCCATGGACTCACCGCTCGTGGGAGGGGCCAAAGGGGTCCGGTGCAGTGTGTGACAAGTGGTAGCCGAGGGTGAGGACCTTGGCGGTCTGATCCTCGACTATAAAGCTGGCTTTTGGAACATGAAATGTCACCTCTTTGGTAGGGATGGAGCCCGAGTTGGTGGCTGTTTCTCGATACTCAAGGATGCTAGTACATAGAAAGTGTGTTCTTGGCAAGGACACCGCCACCGGAAAGTCTGTTTTAGCGAAGACAGGAGGACGAGGATGGCATTTGGAACAGAACCGTACTCTGTTGTGTCACGGCAACAAGCGTTGCTTCTTGCTGCAGTAAAAAAAACTATTTGACATAACAATAAAAGTCTAGTTTGTTCATTAAATAACAACAAAAACTTATTTGTATTAAATTTGGCCCACTTTTATTCAAAACTATTAAAATAGTTGCATTTCCCGCTCCTTAATGAATAAAATAAGTTTCTTTTTCATCAGACCTACAGTGCTTTAATTTTGATAATGGGTTAGCTAATTAGCATATTGAAGGATCATTAAGTAAAATCCAAACACGCACACAGCAAAATTTACAGTGTACACACGATTATTTACAATAACAGACAATTTTATATTATTTTATTTCTATTTCCAATCTAAAACATCACAGTTATTAGCTTTCTCTTCCGACTTTTGGAGTTTTAACAGTTTGCGAAGCAATGCATTATGGGAAACTTTGGTGTCCCAAGTCCGCAGAAGGATGCATTGATGCATCCTCGATACAATGGGCGGAGCAAGAACACATCTGGGAACTTTGAGCGAACTTGCCGTTATGCATACTTAGGATTGGAGCAGTCCTTGGGCCATCGTTGATGACGTTTCACAAGGACGCGAGTACACAAGTTCGGACAAGTATGCATATTGAGAAACGGCCAATGGGTGAGGTTGAGAGGTCCCAACTAGATATAGTCGGACTCACCTCAACGCAGGGCTCTGGCTCCAGAACCAGTTTCACTGAGAGGGGCAAGACACACTACCACTCTGGAGTTTCTCCCACTGAGAGGCGCCGAGCAGGGGTGGACATACAAGTTGCCCCTCCATCTTGGCGCCTGTACATTGGGGTTTACCCCGGTGAACGAGAGGGTAGCCTCCCTCCGCCGACGTGTGGGGGGGACGGGTTCTGACTGTGGTCTGTGCTTATGCACCAAACTACAGTTCAGACTACTCACCCTTTTTGTAGACCTTGCTCATGTGGGCAACGACAGTGAGACCTGAAGAGGTGTGGTGGGGAGAAACAGCCCCCCGATCTGAATTTGAGCGGTGTTTTGTTATTGGACTTCTGTGCTAGTCATAGATTGTCCATAATGAACACCATGTTCAGACATAAAGGTGTCCATATGTGCCCTTGGCACCAGGATACCTTAGGCCACAGCTCGAACGACTTTGTCGTTGTTTCATCTGATCAGGGCAGCAGTAGCTCAGGTGGTAGAGCGGGTTGCCTCATGATTGGAGGGTCATGGGTTCGATTCCAGCTCCCGCCAGGGGTATCCTGCTGTTGTGTCCTTGGGCAAGACACTTCACTCAACTTGCCTGTGTTAGTGGTGGTCAGAGGGGCTGACGCCGCCAAATGGCAGCCTCTCCTCTGTCAGACCTCCCCAGGGCGGCTGTTGCTACAAGTAGCTTACCATCACTAACAGTGTGTGAATGTGAGAGTGTGTGAAAGCGTCTTTGGGTGTCTAGAAAAGCGCTATATAAGTTAAATGCATTATTATTATTATTATGTCTTGGACACTCGGTTGAAGAGAGGGTCGGAGCTGTCCTACCACTACCTGGTGGCTCCGATGGTGGAGGAGGATGCCGGTCAGACCTGGCAGAGCCCAAACATATTTTGAGGGTCTGCTGGGAACACTTGGCAGAGTCTCCTGTCAGAAGGAGCTTCAATTCCCACCTCTGACAGAACTTCCTAAACGTTCCAGGAGAGGCAAGGGACATTGAGTCCGAATTGGCCCTGTTCCGCACCTCCATTGTTGAGACAGCCGACCTGAGCTGTGGCCGCAGGTATGTCAGTGCCTGTCGTTGTGGTAGCTCCTGAAACTGCTGGTGGACACCGGTGGCTAGGGATGCTGTCAAACTGAAGACATTTTTCTATCAGGTCTTTTTAGCCTGTGGGACTCCAGAGGCAGCTGATAGGTACTGGCAGTATAAGCAGAGTGCAGCTCGTTTGGCTGCGGAAGCAAAAACCTAGGAATGGAAGGAGTTCGGTGAGACCATGGAGGAAGACTTCCGCATGGCTTCGAGGAAATTGTTGTCCACCATCCAGAACCTCAGGAAGGGAAGCAGTGTGCTACCAACACTGCTCACAATACTGGTGTGCTGCTGACCTCCACTCGAGATGTTGTGGATCGGTGGGCGGAATACTTAAAAGACCACCTCAATTCCACCGGAAACTCTTCCAGTGAGGAAGGGTTGGATTCTCCCATCTCTGGAACTGAGGGCACTGAGGTTGTCAAAAAGCTCCTCGGTGGCAAGGCTCCAGAGGTGGATGAGATTCGCCCGGAGTTCTTTAAGGCTCTGGATGTTGTGGGGCTGTGTTGGCTGACGTGGCTCTGTAATATCGTGTGGACTTTGGGGGCAGCTCCACTGGGGTGATAGTCCCCCTATTTACAAAGGGGGACAGCAGGGTGAAGGGATCACACTTCAGATCTTCCCTGCTAAAGTCTATTCAGGGGTTCTGGAGAGGAGGGTCCATTGGATTGTCGAACCTCAGATTCAGGAGGAGCAATGTGGTTTTCATCCTGGCCGTGGAACACTGTACCAGCTCTATACCCTTAAAAGGGTAAAATGCCTTCTCCGGGTCAGGGATGAGGTCCTACCCCAAGTGGATGAGTTTAAGTATGCCGGGGTCTTGTTCACTTGTGAGGGAAAGCCGGAGCATGAGATCGATAGGTGGATTGGTGCTGCATCTGCAGTGATGTGGGTATTGTACCAATCTGTCGTGAAAAGAGAGATGAGCTCTCTATATACCGGTCGATCTGCGTTCCTGCCCTCACCTATGGCCTTGAGCTTTGGGTAGTGACTGAAAGAATTAGATCACAGATGCAAGCAGCTGAAATGAGTTTTCCCCGCAGGGTGTCTGGGCTCTCCCTTGGAGATAGGGTAAGAAGCTCAGTCAACTGGGATGGGCTCGGAGTAAATCTACTGCTCCTCCACATCAAGAGGAGCCAGTTGAGGTGGCTCGGGCTCGCCTCCCTGGTGAGGTTTTCCAGACACATCCAACTGGAAGGAGACCTAAAGGGAGACCCAGGACACATTAGTGAAATGTCTCTCGCCTGGCCGGGGAACGCCTTGGGGTCCCCCTGGAAGAGCTGGCCCAAGTGGCTGGGGAGAGAGAAGTCTGGGCCTCTTGATGTAGTGTGCTGCCCTCGTGACCCGACTCTGTATAAGCAGAACAGAATGGATGGATGGATGGTTATACGATTTAGTGCCTCTTATTAGACATTCCTGAAGGAGGGAAAAGGTTAAAACTGAATTATTTAAAGTAATGACATCAATGACCCTGTTTCCTCTTTGCATTTAAATTAAGAGGTTTCTTCAGAAGGTCTAATGAGCTTTCCAAAGTCTCCTGCATGTCTCCAAGTCTGGTAGGGGATTAAAAAATATGTCTTAATATGTGTAAGTAAAACTTTCCTTCTGCAGCCTGTTTAAAGCAGGACTTTAGGACCTTTGTTGCACCTCATTGTTCTGTTTCAAAGGCTCACGGCTGGAGCAGGAGGTTAAAGTCAAGGAGGGACCACCTTTCATGCAGCAGGACACTATCAAAAAGCACCTTTTGGCATGTTTCTTCATATCTTAAGGTCAGAAGCAACAAAACAAAAGTGTGCCCTTTTAGCTTGATTTGTTCTGCAAACTTAAAGTTGAACTTCCAGGGACTTCAGCACAGAAGGAAATCCAATAAACAACTTAAGATCTATACAAACCAAAAGCAAGATATTTCTTCTCTCTTCCATGGCTGCAAGAAAAAGAAGTATGAGAGTTTGACAAAACATAATGTCATATGAGTACATCTCAGGAGTTTACACTGCAGCTGGTGGTGAGGGCAGCAGAATGAGTCATTAGAACAAGAACTTCATCTAGACAACAGCAAAAAAGAAAAGAACTCCACATTACCTTGATATTGACTGTATTTCACTTAACTTTAATGTGGAGACTAATCAGAGCCCATCATCTTATGGTTGGACATACTAGTTTGTTGTTCCTTGAATTACATTTCAGGGTTTATCTTTTTCTGTATGATTGTCATTATCAGAGCCAAGATTTGAAACAGCTTCCTGTTATTAGACTCTGCTTTATAACTTTTTTAAGTCAAAATTTTATCCTCTTGTCTTAAATGTCTGTTTATTGTATAATCTTAGACCTTTGGCTCACAAACAACATGTGTAGAGGATTTTTTTAAACTCAACATTCATAAAAATGATGCCCACAAAGATTCTGCAATGTAACACCAGCACAGAAGTATTTTCAGGAATAGACTGAGCCATATCAAGCAATATAAACATAGACCTCTGTGGAAAAGACAAATCTGAACTAGTGACTGTTTTGATGCACCCTGGTGCTCTCAGGTAAACAATTTTTTGGACCAAATCTTGACTTCTGGTCTTCTCTAGCAGGTGCAATTCATAAAAAATATTTTACAACATGTGGAAAATGTAAGTACAATAATTTCGCATGTGTTTGTTTTAATATAATTACAAGATCTGAATACAATTGACTAACTATATGATTTATTTACATTATTTAACTGCTTCAGATAATTTAGTAATGTTCCGTTTGCTCCTCCCCGCCAGCAGGGTGCGCTGTGGGGCAACAAACCAAACTCTTACTGTCCGGAAGAAGTACAGTCAGCAAGTCGGCTGTTTTTTTTTTTCTTTTTACCTAAAGATTTGTCTTTTCGTTTAGCGTTTCAGCACAGAGTTGCGTGTTAAAACTGCAGCGCTGCGCGTTAGTACTATCTGTAGCGGCTCGGAGCGGAAGCAGTGTGGATTCGTCTGCTCGTCGTGACTTGTGATCTGCTGTGGTTGGTTTTGGTGAGTTTTCTCCAAGCCTGTTTTCTTATATTTGTTTTGCACTTTAGCTTGTTTTTTATATGCCTGCATCCGTGATGTCCTGTTGGCTGTGCCGAGCGCTAAAAGCCGTAGCCATCTCTAGACGGAAACGGGGCTAAAACCCGTTAGGCGGTGAGCAGCTCTGGATCACAGGGGCGTAATTCCGCCATTTCTATCGAGGGGCCACAGTTAATGACACGTTCATTGTTCCTCTGTGTTCTAAACACTGGCGGATTTAGGACTGAAGAAGATCCGGGGCTTAACCATCGACATAAATATAGGGCTTAACACACACGCATGCGCGCACACACTCACGCGCACACGTGACACGCACTAGTCAGCATCATATATATTTGTCTTGTACCACATAATTTTTAATCTGAAGCTACATATTAAGCATATTCAGGGCAGAGTATTGTTCCTGTTAGTGTTTAATGTGAGATGATAGTAAATATTCCCTTTCTTTCTCCAACAATTTTACCTGATAAGCTAACTTTAGCAGGGCCGTGCAGAGACCTTTGACGGGGTGGGTGCTCAAAGAAAAAAAAAGGGGAACTTATAGAGCAATCCAATAAGTTAGAAAATTCAGATAATGAGACCCTTGGGTTCAAACAACATAATAAAAATATATAAATTAGTGTCATAATAAAAATATATAAATTAGTGTCATTAGTGTTAATGTTAGTTCATAAATAATAGTTTTAGTTTTTAAAGCTGACTTATATTTAGAGGTGTTACAACCACATTTTTGCCCCTGATCCGAGTCCAAGTTGTTTGATTTTTGATTATCTTCCAATACTGAGTCCTGTTCTGATACCAGGTGGTGATGCAACGCATTATAAAAGAAGAAAGAATCGTCCTTCTGTCTGTGTTTGTCATTTTGTTATTTTAGCCTGAAAAGGTCACTCATTCAGGAAGTACATTTAACAGAAATCAAGATACTTTATTGCTATTGCACAGGTGTACAACCAAAGATATTTTGTGCTTACTAAAGACAGCTCTAGTAAGAGGTAGTAAAATAAATGTAAAATAAATGCAACCACAGAGACTTATCCAGTGTGATCTACAGCTATGTTAGCTGAGATCTTTTTCCTGTCAGTAGAAAATTCTTGATCCCATTCCATGATCTCCCTGAACTTAACACTAAACATGAGAGCTCTGCTACTAACCTAACAACATCCTTTACACAAAGGCACCATCATCACATACGTGGCAGGAGTCTCAGAGAAACTTAAAAGAATCTTCTCCAAACACAACATCCCGTTAAACTTTAAACCCAACAACACCCTCAGACAGAACCTGGTCCATCCAGAAGACGAAACACCCAAACAGAAGCTCAGTGGGGTCGTGTATGCAGTCCAGTGTAGTGAGGACTGTCCAGATGTTTACATTAGAAAAACTAAACAACAATTACACAAGAACATAACACAACACAGGAGAGCCACCTCTTCAGGTCAAAACTCTGCAGTCCACCTTCACCTGAAGGACAAGGGACACACCTTTGAAGATGACAAAGTCCACATTCTGGATAGAGAAGATAGATGATTTGAGAGAGGAGTAAAAGAAGCTATCTATGTAAAAACGTGAAAACCCCACTTTAAATAGGGGCGGGGCTTAGATTTCACCTTTCCAGTACCAATAATGCAGCTTTGCTCAAGGTCAATTTTACTTACAGAGCGCATTTACAGCAGCAAAGCTACACCAAAGCGCTGTACAGGGTAAAACAAATCAAGATAAAACAAATCAACAATAAATACCTAAAATAAGATGAGCACACAACAGTCACAATCTATGATAAAAACTGTTAAAAACTATTAAGATGCTCAAGTCAGCCTGCATTAAAAACCAAATCAAAAAATTGCGTCTTAAGAAGGGATTTAAAATGCTCTAGATTCTGTGTGGTCCTGATGTTGAGAGGTAGCTTGTTCCACAGTTTGGGCCCAACCACAGAGAACGCTCTGTCGCCGCGAGTCTTGTGGCGGGTTTTTGGAACTGTTAAAAGAGCTTGAAAGCTGGACCTCATGGTTCTGGCAGGAACGTAAGCGGACAGCAGCTCAGAGATCTAAACTGGGGCTAGGCCATGAAGGGATTTAAAAACAAAAAGTAAAATTTTGAAACGGATCCTGTAAGAGACAGGAAGCCAGTGGAGAGAGGTCAGAACCGGGGTTATGTGATCCCACTTGCTGGTTCCAGTCAGCAAATGAGCCGCTGCATTTTGGACCAGCTGAAGTCGGTGTGGGGAGGACTGGTCCAGGCCAGAATACAGGGAGTTGCAGTAGTCCAATCGGCAAGACACGAACAGGTGGATGACATGTTCGAGGATATTAGCAGGAAGGTATGGCTTCACCTTTGCTATCTGCCTTAAATGATAAAAACCTGATTGGACCACTGCACTCACCTGTCTGTAAAGATTAAAAGAACCGTCTAAAAACACACCAAGGTTTTTAACACAGGGTTTTAGAAAACCAGAACAAGGACCAAGAGGACCAACAGCATTGTTTAAAAGATTAGAACTTTTTTTGAATCTCATTCAGTTTCAGTCTAGGTCACACCTTCCTGCATCTAATCAACACGATGACTCACCATCAATAGAGGCTAACGACTCATCAGGAGATGGAGAGGCGGGGTACTCAGAGTAGTTTCTGCTCTTTAAATAACAACAGACAGCTACAGCTTATGAGCTTGACTCTCCCATATTCCAGTTAGAACTGACAAAGCTCCTCAGAGGAGAAGTGAAATGTTTTAAAGAAACCAAAGAAGTCCAGTTGCCTTCATCTGAACTCTTTGGAGTAATAGTCAATAATAAAAAATACATAAAGTTAATAAAATGTATATAATTATGCTCACATTCACTTTTACCATCTCTGTGGGAGGCAGAAAATTTATCACGTTTAACCCTCTTATGACCATAAATATAACAAGTAGTTTTTTTTGTTTTAGGGCTTTAAAATTGTAATAAAAGTGTAAAATATTTGTAACTCTGCTAATTTTTTCAGAACAACCTCAGCTTTCAGTGTCTGGTTTGTATTTAGTGTTTATGTTTATTAAAGTCTGTAAAACTGCAGCTTAAATGATAAAAAAACAGATTTGAATTTTCTTTACATTTATTACTAAACAGGAACTTCAAAATGACTTGAGCAAACTATGTCAAAAGAACTACCAGTATTTAAACTCAGAACTGTGTTGCAAACACTCCGAAAACAGTGTGACCCCTGACCTCATGTTAACCAGTTTAATGACTGCAGCCTGTCTGTGACCACAGGTCTACGCTCTGGTCCAGAGAACGGGATACAGTAAAATAAATACTAGGTATCATAAAATAACACTCATGGGCTACTTCACAGCTGTAGCTACATTTCTACCAGCATTATGAAGATCAATAAGCAGATAAAAGGTTAAATCTAAATATTTCATTACAAAAAGTCAACTAATAAAAATCTGCACTGATAACATTATATTTTCAGCTAAATAAATATTTATTGTACGTATAAATAATGCTTGAATGAAGCTGAATCATTTAGTAAACAGTTGAGTGTTCAAATAAAAACCAGTGTGACTTTAATCTGTCCCTCCTCATGTCACCATCTACAGAAACAGCCTTCTGGGACACCTGACCAACCAGGTGGATTTTATTTGTGACGTTTCCATAACTTTATAAAAGCTGCTGATGAAGATGATCAGTAGGGCTGGGGGTAAACGATTATTTTTAAAACGATTATTCTGACGATTATTTTATCGAATAGTCGACTATTCTAATGACTATTTAGAAAATTAATCTAATGATTATTTTTCTATTGCACAATTAACAAAAACCAGAAAATCTCAAATAAATTCCTCAAAAAAATTGATAAATTCTTACTTTAAGAGAATAAACACTACAGGCCTTCCATTTTGTATAACACTGCTTTTATTGTGTTGCGGTTGGTTATGTTCTGGTGATGTGTAGAACTTGGGAGTGCAGGCTGCTGCCTGCGAGGTGGTAGAAGATGGAGTGTCTCCATGCTGCTTTGTTTTGGTCACTTATGTGCGTGAGGCGTTACGGGTTAAACCAAACTCAAGGTGATATTTTACACTAAACCGAAAACCCACAACACTCTAAATGTAATAAAAGGAAGATCTACACCACAAAAAAGATTAACTCTAAACCAAAACTTAACAGCTTATCCCAACGCAAGAAGCTGTTAGCGAAGATGCTAACAGTAGCTTTACCAACGTTAAGTTCAAGTTACCAAGTTTAAATAAACCAAAAACACCCAGCAGCAAACAGACCAGCACGGAGGAGAGACTGCTACCACCAAAACAGCTCTCCTAATGTCTGAAAGAAGCTCCTTAATGAAGGGAGAAACGCTCCCGGTGATGTTCTACATCTGCGATAGACACGAAGCAGCGCATCTGACCCCGGAAGTTGTTGTCCGTTGCCGGGAGACGAAGGCGGGCAAAACAGGAAACTAATCTAGTAGTGGACGGACGTTGTTCCGGGTCTTCGGTATTTGGCGGAGATGTTAGTGAAGGCGGAGAAGAGGGCGAACTAGAGGAAAAACAGGCAGATTCCACCTCTATTTACAAACTCCTGGGGATGCAACAAGTGGGCGTGGTGCGTCGACTTCCGGATCTGACGTCGACAAATTTTTAGAATCGAGCCGTCGACGTCGTCGAGGCTTCGCTACAGCCCTAATGATCAGATCATCTCCTCCTTTCGGTTCTCGCTCTCCTGTCGCGGTCCGCACCGTTTCTTTCTGTGACGCTGCAAAGCTGGTTTCCTTCTAATAGCGATTTTTGGAGGAACATGAATTACATCATGTAATACCTCGTTGGAAAGCTCATTTTATGTACTTTTAGAAACCGTTTGAATTATTTTTATTCGATTAGTAATTCAGAAGTTATGACCCGGAGAATCTAGAGTGAGAAACATCCGTGATTCTTTGTGAGTTTCTTCCAACACTTCAGGAGAAGTCTCTCTCATGTCTCATTTTCTGTCCCAG